GTGGTAGGGTGATGGTGTTGTGATGATGTGATGTTCAGGGTGTGGTAGGGTGATGGTGGTGTGATGGTCATGGTGTGGTAGGGTGATGTGATGGTCATGGTGTAGTAGAATGATGGTGATGTAATGATGTGATGGTCATGGTGTGGTAGGGTGATGGTGGGGTCATAACACTTACCAGATCACCAATTCGGTCATGTAATGGTATTTGGGGGTTTTTATTCCTGAACTTCCTAAAAATGAAAGACATTATACATTAACTCCAAAAAACCTGCTAAAAAAGAGTGTTTGGGGCTGGACTTGATTAGGTAATTTGACAAATAAAAGAATCTGTTATCAAAGACCTCAAGAAAAAACCAAAACCTTTGAAAAATGTGATTCAGTACAATTATAACATCTTGATTCTCACCTCTTGTAGAAGCAGCAGTAGGCCAACAGTATAAACATGACGATAAAGATGAATACTCCAATCAATGCATATGTTGTTAAATTGCTTGTAAAGTCTGTTTTTCCTACTTTTTTTAGACCTAGAATCATTTTCAAGGAAAAAAAGATTTCATTTACTTTTGTTGTTTCACATTTTTTTCACAAGCAAATCGATTATGACTAATGAAATCTTTATGGTGCAGACAAATGTCTTTCCTGAACTAATTCAAATGGTTTGAATTGTATACATTTTCAAGACTGTGATGAATGATGTACAGAGCAATGGTTTTCTTAAACACTCAACTGGTTTTTTCAAACGTTTGAATGGTTTTCTTGAACACTCGACTGGTTTTTTCAAACACTTGAATGATTTTCTATATACCTTTAATGGGTTTTATCCTTGCTTTCTCTCCATTTCGCCCACACATCCTGGAGTTACACAAAGCAATACGGGAAATGTAATGACCTGTTGAATCAAGTCCAGTAAGAACCGCTTGACTTGGAGGGTTAGGAAAAGCCAAGATATTTCTTTCCTTGGAATCCTGGTAATTTTCATTTCTGTAATACATAATTTTTATGTGAGATGGTTTTCCATGCCATGCAGATGAGGGTGGAACCTTGAATTGAAAAAAGAATAATCAGCTTCATCTCTTTCATCATCATTAATAATGATTAACCATAATCAGGGTAATTATGACTGTCGTAATCCTTATAATAATCACCAGAAACAGCTGATTATCATCATCTAAAGCCACCCACTAGCACCATCATCATTATCACCAGCATTATCACCATCATTATCATCACCATCATTATCACCATCATTATCACCATTATCATCACCACCATCATCACCATCATCATCATCACCATCATTATCATCACCATCATCATTATCATCACCATCATCACCAGCATTATCACCATCATTATCACCAGCATCATCACCATCATCACCATCATTATCATCATCATCACCACCATCATCACCATCATCATTATCACCATCATTATCATCATTATCACCGTCATCATCATCACCATCATCATCACCATCATTATCACCATCATTATCATCATCATCACCGTCATCAACACCATCACCACCATGATCAGCATCATGATCATGATCATCACCATCATCATCATCATTATCATCACCATCATCATCATCACCATCATTATTATCACCATCATCAACATCTACACCACTATGATCAGCATCATCATCATGATCAGCATCATCATCATCACCATCATTGTCTTCATCACCACCTCTATCATCATTTCCATTATTACTATCATCATCATCACCTCTATATTCATCATCTCCATCATTACCATTATTTGGTGTCTATTTCCACATAATCAAACCCAACAAATAGTTTGAATTAATAATAGTTTATATTTTACCTTCCATGTAATCGTTACATTCCTCATGGCAGTGTTGGATATCCTACTGGATGAGGTGTTCAAGATGTCTGGGCCTGGTTCAGGTTCTGTATGGATGAAAACACAGCTTGTCTTCAACAATGCCTCACGATTTGGATAATATTAATAAGTATTAACAATTCTACAGGGTTCGTGCTGGGTTCCCAAGAAATTATTCAAGGAGTTTTCAAGGAGTATTCAAGGACCAAAATGACATTTTTCAAGGAGTAACTCTTAAGAGGGTTTTATTTTGGTATTAAAAAAATAAGATGAAATGCCAATGCTAATCGAGATGTGCGAATTTGTCACATGATATCCACGCCACATTGAGTCACTAAGTTCTGGAAACTTAAAAAATAATAGAAAAAACATATTAAATGAAATATTTTGAATAGATGGAAAAAGGGATTTACCAGTAGCATTTTTACAGAGTAGTYAATTTTTTAAATGAAATTCCACTTTGAATTTAGGAGTAGAATTTAATATTATAAAACTTATAATTCTGCCTACCTCCTTCTGGAGTAAATACTGTTCTTGGACCAAGAGGTTCACTAACCCCGGTGCTTAAATTTTTTGAGTCAAGGAATTCCACTGTGATATAGAAGTAGTATCTTGTGAATGGCTCAATGCCGTCATCTTCTCTTAGTGTTAACATTGTCTGACCTTTTTCACCTTGCACTACTATAGTCTGTTGAAAAAGTTAACTTCTGTGAAAAACTAATAAGGTGCTGACACACGGTGCAACATTGCACACAACACTGCAAGCAACAAATTTGAATCAGGGTTACACACATTGCAACAAAATCACGCAACTTCGTTTGTGTCAGCCTGCTATGTTAAGATATTTGGTCAGCAGTTATAAATTTGGTGTAAGCTGATTGGCTGGAAATTTCAAAATGCTGCAGGTAATGTTGCAGACATGTTCRCATGATGAAATTTGTTGCACGCAATATCGCAATAGTAGAGTGCTATTCAACTTCAGATTTGTTGAATGCAACAAGTTTGGTGTACACTCGCTGCAACAGTCCTGTTGCGTGAAATGTTGCATGCAATGTTGCACCGTGTGTCAGCACCTTTACAGGACCAGAGAATAGAGTTTGATTTGTATGGAAGACTAAATCGATTTGGTGGTAAACAGCCCACCCCTCCCCCACTGTCTATGGTACTTTCAGAAAATATCCATCCCTCCCACATCAGAAACATGGATTGAAATCTCTATCTCTTAACAATGGTCTGAGGAGGGTATACTGTGTAGTTCCATAAAGTATCCATACCTCCCCCATTGAGGAGGGGGACCAGGTTTGGAGAGTCCAAGGGATGGGGAGGGTCTGAGGAGGGTATACTGTGTAGTTCCATAAAATATCCATACCTCCCCCATGGATGGGGACCAGGATTGGAGAGTCCAAGGGATGGAGAGGATTTGAGGAGGTTATATTGTGTAGTTCCATAAAATATCCATACCTTCCCATGGGATTGGAGTGTGTCCAAGGGGGTTGGGAGGTTCTGAGGAGAGTTACCTTGTTTTTGTGGTCATTTTCTTTATAGTACAGTATTGTATATCTGGTTTCAACAATGTCCCATAATTCCCTTGATTTCCAATTCATTGATATATCGCCATTATCATTCACGAAGATATTCAAGCTTAATGGAGGTCTTGGAGTAGCTGTAGGGAAGAGAAAAAAATGAATATGTGTTTCTTTACAATTATATTTTATACTTTTCAGATCCCCTGACAAAAGGTTGATGACCCAAAATTTTGGGTAACATTTATTGTTATATATTGTAGAAAATGAGAAATGAATCTGATGGTAAGGATGGGTTTGTGGACACTAATAACCTGACAACATTATTATTCTATTACTTCCATGTTACCCAAATAAGTAGTGATTATAGCACCACAATGTTCTTAACAAGTGATTAATATTAAATATTGTAACAAGCAGCGGGTACTTACGATACACTGCATTGTTTGGACCTCCAAAATTTGCATTTATTTCAAATTCTGGACCTTTACTTTCCCCTAATGGGTTAACAGTTGCTATGGTAAACTTATACAGGTCACGCAAGGATTCTAGAGTTTTCATTTCTTCCCTCAACTTGTTACACTTGTAGTCCATTTTTCCAGAGATGTGAGGGATAGTACAAAATTGATATCTAGGGGTCTCCTGACAGTATGTTCTGTTAATACATGGTATATAGGTAACATTATAGTAAGCTGGTAATCTGCCAACATTGGTAGCTGCTGTCCAGTAAATGTTTATATCATACATTCTTAAATCCACAATATTGTGTTTTATGTTCATGGGTGGTCTAGGGAGATCTGAAATGAAGAAATAAAGACATTGTGTTATGGTTGACTAAACATTACATTCTTCTACATTAGACAGACTGGTGCATTTTAATAAAGGTATCCACTAAATAGGGTTTGTTTTATGTGAAGAAAATTACTGGACTGTGCAACTATCTGTTTATTATTTTTGATGAAGCACTTGGGTGACTCTACTTTTAAGGTATCCACCAGGCAACTCCATTTGAACATCATTGTATAGTTTTGCAAGAAGAAAGTTGTAAGGCTATAGCCAAACCTCCCCCATCTCACCCCTCCACAGTCCAGATGTCCACTAAATTGATGGGTTAAATGCAAGCATTCAAAGCATGGTAGCCATTGTAGTGCCATTAACAATGGATGCTAATAAGAAATCTTTTTTTGAATGGCACCAACGCTCCCCCGAGAGGCCATGATGATGTAACATACAATTGAAGAAGAAGTTCGTTTTAATATGTGAAGAAAATTAAAACTATCTGTGTCCATTAATTTTGATGAAGGGTTTTAAGCTGCTGGCCACCTCCATTAGAACATACTTCATTGTATAGTTTTGTATGAAAAAAGGCTATACCCCATCCTATCACTTCACAGTCATTAGCGAATCTAGCAATATGGTAAAAATAGTATTGACAAACCAACACATACCTCCTATGATGATGGTTACTGAAGATCTTTTTATGCTTGTATCAAAAATATGTTCATCCCTTGGACCACACCAGTAGATGGAACCATTCAAGTCCCAAGTTATCTGGTCAATTGTAAGACGTAATGTGATAGTATTATTACTCCTGAGTAACTCAATGGACCTGCCATCAAGCCAATTTTGACTCTTTCTCCAGCTTATATTGACGAGCTTCTCAGAGCCACTGGGAATTGAACAGTTTATTTGTAATTGTCTGGTGCCGACTCTTACAAACATCAACCCATTGGAGTTGATGGGCATGTGGTTGYTTGATATTCGTACATGAATGGCTGAAATCAAAAGTAAGTAATTAATCAATGTGAAATTTGAACTACAACCTGTACATAGGATGAATTTTTGATGTGAAGTGACAGCTTGGTAAAGGAAGACAATCAACTCTATTTTTGTTACATTCTGCTATTTCTTGTGGGATTTTAAAACAAAAGTATCTTAGTTTAGATCTAGATTATTTTTAATTCACATGCTTTCTTGTATGACAGTTGTTCTTGAATGTAACAGAATATTTATTTTAAATTTAGCACAATCTCTTGTACCAAAGTACCAGCTGATTGCAGACAACATGGGGGAAGAAGTAGACTTTCTCTTCTGGCCTTCTCTTTCAATCCTCTGGGCCCGGTTGTGTGAAAGGTAGATAATGCTCTCCGATAAATAAATCCACATCAAGTCAAATGCTGTTATTCAATAAATTTATCCACTAGATAACATTTATCTATCAGAAAGTGCTTTTCACCCTTTGTACAACCAAGCCATGTTGTACTCGTTTTTTAACGAAAGCTTTTTATATTATTCTGTTGTGTCTAGATAAGGTCTGTCACCACAGGCATAGGTATCAAACCACGAGAGAGCTAACCTTATGTACATTATATAAAAATAATATTATTAAGAAATATATTACCAGGCAAAACAGGTTACTCTTTTCAAGAAATGAAAAATTAGAATCGGGAAAATGGAAAAAGGGAAAACATTTAAAATGGAATACAGAATTATTACAGCTTGTGAAACTCAAGTTTTTGTTATTYTAAGTATGAATCCAAGGCTGGCTGTTTGAGAAAAAAATCTATAAATATTTTAGGGTGATGTACGTGTACATTGACATTATTTTGCAGTCATTTTTTTTACTCTGTCCAACCAACTTAGTATCAACATATGTTTTTAAGCCTTTACCTAATCCACCAACACATGTTGAATAATATGGCTCCAAATAATATTAAGATTCTTTCAAAATCCTAGGCTTAACCAAGTAGATTGTGAATTCATCCGTAAAAACCATTTAGAATACATAAACAAAAATTCCCCGAGCTGAATATAATGAACTGTTAATGTACATCAACTGTTTTGATTACTAATTCAATATTTTAACTTCAATTATGATAGCCTTGGTTGTTGCTTTSTTTATAAAAGAGAAAAAAATTTGAATGGGCTCATACAAGCCAGTCGTTTTATGAACATCAATAATTTACATCTGTATAGTAATCTAGATTCCTACACATTATTACATGCTTGAAAACGTAAAAGAAATGCAAAATGTTGCACGTCTGTTAGAAAATATTTGACCGGTACAAAGGTCTACATAATATTACGTAGTTATTTTAAGTTATTTTATAGAAAAGAAGGGAAAATAAGCTTTCAGAAAAAATTAACTTGCCTTTTGTTGTATTGAATTCCTTCGCGGTTACAACTTCAATAGCGCTGGAGCCCAGAGCGAAACACAAAAATCCAAGCAAAATAATACCAGATCCTTGTTTGAAAAGATTCKCCATCCATTCACCATTGTCATATATTTAAATAAAACCCTAAATTCATTGTTTGGTGAAGAGGAATTAATAGAAAACGCAGTCAAAAGCACTTCTCAACTGCTCACATAAAAAAAAAAAACAAATGGCTTCATTATTTCTTGTAAATAATTATTCTATGATTTCAGCTTCGTGTAACTTTGTTCCCTTGAAAAAACATCGGATATTTATGCAATAATAGTCCTACAGATTTCATGTGACTCAACGTGCCTACACTTGTATATCGTTCTGGGAAAAATCCCGCATGACCTTGTAGTATTAATAGCTTGTGTGTCAGAGTATCATATTCTTGTTTTGTCCGCCATGATGACCGCGCGACACTGGGCAGCTAAAGCATATAGCCATTCTTGTGCTAACACGTGCTGAAGTAAATAAACCAAATTCCTATATTAAAAACCTGTAACATCAACCTCCTTTTACTATCGACCACCTCTTTTTGTTCTTAAATTTCTTTAGCTTTGAAATTTTAATACGATTTTAATAAAAAGAAAGTAGATTTCCTAGTCAACTAAGGAGAAAAAAATTCCCTAAATTTTCCCTGGCTCCTAACTTCAAGAAGTCCCCCACCTACAGGCAAGAAGATGAAAGAGCAATTTGCGTTTCCGGGTATATTGAAAATAATGAAAATAAGGATTCAACGATTACCCTTATAAAATTTGATGTCTTTTATTGCAATATTTTTTTTCATTCATAGGGAGCCCATCAGATCAGGGCGACAGTATTCTAACCATTTGCAAATATTTTCAACGTAAATTCAGCCCTTTCACTCAAATGCGTTAAACCCCCCATTTCTTTAGACAAAGATGTCACTAAGACTCGTAGTTTATACAATTAAATATATTATGCGCAACATTGCTGAAAATCTTGATCATAAGGCAGACTGATGCGCGGCACAGTTATAGATGTGGGGGAAAAAACATGTGTCTCACGGTACAAAGAGCCTGACGTTAGAGCAGTTCTCGCATGACTGTGAATAGCTCAGTGCCGTAAGCGTGCCGTRCTGTGATGTTTTCTAGAATTTTAACTGGCCGATTTTCATCTCCCCCAATTTGATTTGTCTGACCGTGCCGTGACCTTGGCGTGACCGTGTCTGTGACCCTTTCACAGTCATACGAAAACTGGCTTTCTGAAGGATGCGCAGTGGTCTTGCGACTCTCAAGTGGATTTTTCATTCAAACGATGTGATTGGATGGATTGTAATTCTTTAGCTTTTGATTGGTTTAGAATTAAGGAAAGCCATTTAATTGTGCTACTGTTGCGCACAACAAAAGCGCGAGTCAAACTCTGCAACTGCTTTACGCAACGTCACAGAAGTAAAATCTAGATCTACTCCTGCTTGCGACCTGTCGTTTTCAGCCAATTAATTACAACTTTAAGGCTGAGGATCGAGCTTTCTTTCAAACATTTTTGTTGCAGGAATAGTTGGTACGCGTGACAAGCCTCGACGTGACAGCTTGCACCGTGTTGTTATCGCCACTGCATTTTATGATACAACACGCAAAACAGGTTTAATTCTTTTCTTTATCTGTAATTTGTCCTCGAATCAGACTTAATTCATACATATAATACATACACTTAGGCGTTCAATAATATTCTCTTGAAAAACCAAATAATTTGATCACGGGTCTTTACAAAAATACCACGTCGTCATAGCAACAAATTTTGATTGACAGCTCTTCTGGGTGGATCAAGTAAGATTCTGATTAAAAAGTCCAATTTTCAATCAAATAATATTTGACATCTATGATCCTCGATTCCACATATTATACTCTTACAATCTCGTGTGTTTTAGAATGTAGCGAGCCTGCCTTGGTGTTTACTAGGGTAATTGCTTATATGGTTAGACTAGATTGACGTTTATTAAGGAGGACATCGATGAGTCGGAGGCGAGCTTTGATTTGCTGTGGGTCAAAAAGAACGTTGGAAATTAATTCTGAAGTCCTAGAAAATCTGCTTGACGCACATGCAGAGGAGAAAGGGGGGGAGATAAGTGGCATAGTCCAGAAACGTGCGCAACTGTTTTGCATTAACTCCCATGACAAAGGAAAAGGTATTATGCACGAGTACTGTACAGCTTGGTGTGACGTCGTAAGCAGATGTTCTAGAGTTGCAAGCAACTGCACGACCTTAAGCAATACAGGACGTCATCTGCGAAATAGGCTAAGAGTGATATAGCAATTCCTACTGAATTCCATAACAAAACTGCTCTGCTGTTTTGTAAAATATGGATAAAATATTTTGTCCTTACTTTGTATTCACGATAATAATCTTCCATTTCTCCTCTTTCATCCTTTTGTACTCTCCTGAAACAAAGATTTACATTGGTAAATATATTACGACTGAACGTGCATACGATCTGCAAGCGTGTTGCAGTTTAACCGACAGAACATGATGGTTGTTACAAACCTTCCCGTTCTTTCAAGAAAGTCGTCCTCAAATTTCTTGAGTTTTTTCCGCAACATCTTTTTCTYTCGTTTAGCCAGTTCGACTTGCCTTTGGAGTTCCTCACTGCAGAGAATAGTAAATACATTGACTCAGTATTTCTTGGCACACAGGCGTAACATGCATGGTATGATTAACGAATCGAAGTCAGTTTTCTATGGGTCTGTACGTAACTGTAATCGAACATGAAATGACGTCAAAAATCATCCAAACTCAAGTGGAACCACGAGCGCAGCGAAGGCTTGTTAACATTTCTAAAATGCGAAATATTTACAAGCTAGTCTAAAGCTTAATTTTGCTTCCACAGATGAAGTGAAATGAAAGTTCCAAAGAGGAAGGATACAAAATGAGAGAAAAGGGAAGGGAATGAAATCCTGAGAAATGGAGTTAGAGAAAAGGAAGAGAAAGGGCACGAAAATGGAAAGCAAAACAGTGTAAGAGAAGAAAAGACGGTTTACAGCCCTTCTAGCTCCTCTGTGTGTGCCTTATCAACACGTGATCAGTAGAACCAACAGAAGAGAAACAGTTTACAGCCAACTTACTGTGACATTTGGTGTAGTTTTGTGTCTCTTTCCTTGTTATCATCAAGGTTATCTTGTGAGCCCCCAAAGTCATCACCATCATCAAGATCATCACCTACTCCTATTTTATTGTCAGACCATTTCTTGGGAGACGCCTGAAAAATGCCAAGAAATTTCAATAAACAAAATTGCTATGGGAATATTGATAATGACTAGTGGTTACTAGTTGCGAACACCGTGTAATAAATATGTAACAACGTCAGACATTTCGGATGTTAATCCTTTGTCGGTGTAAGAGGAGTTTTGTAGTATACGCAAAGACCATATAATAAGAAGTGTGAACATGAAATGTCTTTTGTTAGGAAGTGTGATCATCCTTGGTGAGCGAAGTCTTGAGAATCTGTGCGGAAGTCATCTTCAGAGTCCAGTGAGAATTTGAACGAAAGACGATATCTATTTCCTTCTACAGTCGTACTTTCAAAAAGGTAAGGAGACCAGAACACATGTCATTTGCAGCCAGTCTGTTCAATGTTGGATACACGAAGTACTTGTTATATGTACCTTTGATACTGGGGAGGATAGCAGGGATTTTCGGAGTAACGTTGGTGTAGCAAATAACTGTTCTTCACTGCCAAAATCTGTGAAAATAAAAATATAGGTTTAGGTTTGTACGATGAATTAGCATTAGATCTAGCATTACAAAGAGAGTACGTTTATAATACAGGTTTAGGTTTGTATGATGGATTGGTATTCATTGCAGGGGAATAGCGATGTCTCCATTACAGTGGGGGGCAATGCACCATTTTCCCACTAAATCCACAGGAATTCCGCATAAAAAATTTTGGTGCCGAAAGCAAAAACGTTTTTGGGACGGAAGGGGGTGGGG